TCTGGTATTTCGTATTGGATGTGTATACTGAAATGCTGAGTTAAACAGAGCCTGTCAGATCCTATGTTTTAAGAATAAATATGAACCCAAAGACTCATCCTGCAAGCCCCTCTGACAGATGATCTGCATACCAGCCGACTAAGTGAGCTCAGATGGAAGGAGTGAGCTCTGTGTCTGCATACAATTGCAGAACGAGCCAGACCCCCCTTTAATTTCAAACCTCTGATACTATGATCCTTCTTCATTCAGGTGGAATCCCACATTAAAATATATCACACACACAATGTACTCTTGACTTTAAAGATAACTACATGTAGAATTAGACTTCATCTGTTGGGACTACCAGATCAATTACTGTGACTTCAATGCATGGTCAATTCAGTCCAATAACTGGCTTAAGTGATTTTTTTTTCCTCCTCCTGAATTTTCCAGCTAACTTCATTTAGTATGTAACGATGGAGTTACCACTAGGACCAAGGCTGGACTAGGCACTTGGGGAGATACAAGGAGTTAGAAGGCATACTTCAGAGTTCATAACTCAAAACTAATTCATAAGCTTGGCGGAATATGATTTGGTATTCAGGACTTGGAATGAATGGGATTTGTTGCTGATTGTTTTTATTTCAGTGCAATGTAATTGAGTGCCACGGCAAATGCTGAATGTCATGTGAGAAGAAAAGACTTGAGCCGAGGGGAGGGAGGAGAAATGTGCCAGTGGGGAAGGGGTAGAGAAGAAGCAATGGGAAAATACTGGAATAAAAAAAAGAAACAGAATTTTAGGGACCAATTTTGAAATCCGCCTGGCCTCAAGTGCATTGGTGTTGAAAAGGCTGAGTTGAAAATTCGTGAAACTAGATTACAGAGGGCCTAGTCTCTCAAGCCACGGAGTTGAGAATTTTTCTTAGAAGTGGTCGCGAGCCACTGGAGATTTTAAAGTGGGTAACCCTGAGAAGAGTGGCTGCTTTTGGAAGATGACCGTGGTGGTGGTGCCCTAGATGGACGGGCGAGACCCAAGGCTCACTTCCTCCGTGGCTTGGCTGCCTTCTGTTCTCACTCACAGACCTCCCACTTCTGTGCCGTGGACCTCTCCAGGTCACTGCAGAGCCTCAGAGCGGTAGAATGATCCACGTCCACCGACGAAGGGAGTCACTCAGATGCACACGCCGAGGACCCTCCAACTGTTGGCTTTTCCCCCTTCCGCGGACTCTGTGGGCACTTATGGCTCATGGCTTGGGCTTGCTTCCTTTTCCGTTGCCCTACAGCTTCCCTTCCAGGCCCCCGTCCCGCACCAGCCTTTACCATTTTTGTCTCTAGAAGTTTGTTGATTTCCCCAAATGTACAAGGACATGTGCTGAGATGGAGGAAGCGTGATCTGTGACCAGGCCTTTACCTTGAAGGCAGTGACCTGCTCGTAGTTGACCTGATTTTCTCTTCACTTTTTGCTTATATTTATGCGAGGCATCTTTGGTCACAAGAAGGTATTCTTGTGCTTTTGGCCTGATTTAATCTTTTCCTCGGTGCTGTGAAACAGGTATTTCAATATACCCGTTTTACAGAGAGTGTACTCATTCGGCCCAGGATGGCCACGGGGACAGCGTATAGGTAAGGGGAAAGTGTCTACTTGTCACCGTGGTATGAACCCGAAAAGCCTGTCAGCTGACCACCCACCCCCCGCCCTGGGTGCACACACACCTTCATATTCATCCATCTTCATTGTGCATATCTGTATCGTAGCTTCTCACTGAACATTTCTGCTCCATGCAAAGGACAGACACGGGGTGGAAGCCAGGACTTCAAGGTGGACAGTGAGTTTGCTAGGATCCTGTCTATGTGAGTAGAACTCTGGGTTTCAGTGGCAAGGAGTCTCGGCAGCACATGGCTGGGGATGGATTAGACTTTTCTGGAAGAGTCCAGGAAGATCAAAACTCTTGTTCAGCAGAAACCAGACCCTTTCTCTTAGCAGATAGGGAGCAGTGCATTCATGGGGAGGATAGACACACACCCACAGCCGTGAAGAACAGCTGGAGTAGCATCTTCTCTGTTATTACACTTCTCTTGGTACAACCCAGGTCTTTGGGCAGCCATACCACGAGCGGACATGTTTCTGTTTCCAGTGCAGCCTTCAGTAGTGCCCAAGCTCTGCTGAGCAGTGTGTCGCCTATCCCACATCTGTGAAGTGGCTCGTTTTTATACCCACATGTAAGACTTGTTTAGGAGTAGTTGATCCTTTTGAGGACTCTGTGCATCCCAGTTTTGCTACTTAATATGGTTACTCCCTTACAACTTATATCCACACCAATTGATGGCTGTGTACATCCTCTATCTTTATTCAAACCACTGCTTTTGGTTTTTGTTTTGCTTTGTTTTTGAGGCGGGCTCTCACTCTGTCACCCAGGCCAGAGTGCAGTGGCACAGTCATGACGCACTGCAGCTTCAGACTCTGGGACTCAAGCGCTCCGGCTGCCTCAGCCTCCTGAGTAGCTAGGACTCTAGGCATATGCCACCATGCTTGGCACATGTTTTGAGTTTTTTGTAGAGACAAGGTCTCACTATGTGGCCGAGGCTGGTCTACAACTTCCGGGCTCAAGCAATCCTCTTGCCTCATCTTCCCAGAGTGCCGGGGTTACCGGAATGAGCCACTGCGCCTGGCCAAACCACTGTTATTATTGCCTAAAACAGCTGAAGTGCAAGTGTTGCAGCCTCTCTCAGGGATGAAATTTAGGCATTCATCCAAAGTCACTGAGGTTAGTCATGTTACCGATTCACGAATCCAAGTAACCACAGTATGGTTATGCTCCTCCCTCCTGTATTTTTCTTCCAGGATTGGCTGTCCTTGAAAGATGTCACACAGCCGTCTTAGCCTTTTAAAAATTTCTCTGGACCCGTTTTCTCATTTGTAAAATGCCTGTGTCAGCCACCTCTTAGGGATGTTTTGGGGCAGATGCAAGAGGGTATGAAAAAGCAGAGGAAAGCCCTGCTTCAAACCTAGATAGTGGGTTCTATGCCGTTTGTTTGGGTTTTTTTTCCCTCTCTGTTGTGCTTTCCAGATGTGGGGTGGGCTACCCAGGAGCTTGACATTCCATTTCTCTGACTGACTGCTTGTCAGGAATGTTGCCTGGGAAATCTTATCCAACTCCAACAGCCGGATTTTATTGATCTTACCAAATTTGATTAGTTTTGTTCAGAATTATTCAATTAACATACCATTTCTGTTTGTTTCAGCCTTTTAATATTTCCAATCCCTATTCATCTACATTGCTGAAAGAAAGGAAACAGTCACAGTGTATCTAAAAAATTTATTTAGCTTTTGGATTTTTAAAAAGTTGACTTAAAATTTGGATATATAATCTGAATTTTACAGCAAGTATGAAGCAGTCCGGTTCAGCACTGCTCAGACAGTAAACATTCCTTTTACTAAATTTGCAGTAGTAAAGTTTAACTCGGGAAGGAAACCGGCTAACTGCCCTTTCTTCCAACCCTACTGGCACCCAAGGGCATCAGGCTCTTCCATGGGGGTACCAGTGCCTGCTGCTTGTGTGTTGTTCCATGTGTGTGGTTGTTCTCTTGGCCCCTATCTTTTTTTTAGTGGTAAGTATCAAAGAAAACTCTCTGGACTCCTCTCCTGTGAGTCCCTGCTTTGAATCTACTCTCAGTATGGAAGAAAGAAGAGAGGCAGTTATAATATCAGTAAGGATTTAAGCAGTGTAACAGTCTTAAAGAAATTATAAGCAGAATTTCTTTTAACCATGATGAGAATGCCTGTGTATTCCTTATTTTCAGCAAAAAGTTAAAGCAATGGCTATAGAGATACCTGTAAACTTTTTGAGAACTTTTAGTAAATGTAATCTAGTTTACACATGAGGCACATAGACTTATTTAATTGGAGGATAAATCTTAACATATCTCTATATGCATATTTTAAAATATTTTTAAAAGTTTGACTAGAAAAACTGTAATTGAGTCATACTGAATAACGGAATACTCCTTATGTACAGTTAATGGGCAAATCACATGCCATGTTTGAATAAAAGTCTTAATGTTTTACACAGTGGTTTATATTTAATATAAAGGAAGCCTGGAAGTAAGAATACTTCTCAATTTTATGTAGTAGAGGTAGAGAACAAATATAACATCACTCTCCCATCAGAACCTTGCAGTTTGGAAAGATTTTTTTCACAATTTGCAAGGATTGTCTTTCTTTTTAAAAATTTTTTTTTTATTTTAAAGATGTGGGGTACAGTTCAGGTTTAGGTATACACATGTTCATTATGCAGGTACCCTTGTTGATGAGGAAGGATTTTTACAGTTTGGGAAGATTTGTGTCATTGTATACAGTCTTAGAAATAGCCTAGATGATGGCATGCCATCTCTCCTTTAATGAAGAGAATTCGTATCTGTTAATATAATTTTTGCATCAGTACCAATTAACTGCTGGAAGAGGCTTCTGATTACTGAATTGGTTCTAAAAAGTGTGGGGAAAACTAGCAATACTGACTTTCAAACTAAAAAAGACACACTAAAAATAATGTTATCATTCTCTGTGCTTGTGATAATTTTATAGATAGAAATGAATTTGCTTCCTCTCAGATACACAGTCTTAAATACAGTCCTTCAATGTTGCCTTATAAGTAAGTGATTACCTTTAACTTTTTTGGGAGAACAATTTTGAAAATACCCAGCATGATATTCGTTTTGCCTCATTCTGTGCTTTGTGATATGTATTCAGCTCTAGTTCTTGATAATTTGTTAACAAGACGTTTTTAACACTTTGGACAGATGCACATACTGTTTTCAATCTTCACGGTTAATTATTCGATTTTGTATTTGATGCCAGAACACCCTGACTCCTAATCACTGCTCATTGTTGCAAGTCCATTATATTCTAACTGTTTGAGTGCTCCCATTGACCTTGAACTGACATTATAAGCTGTGTCAAATCTTTTCAGTCTATATTTCTAATGCTGCTTTTCTTTTTTTCCTTTTTTCTGATCCCTGTTTAGCATCACAATGGGGCTGCCTCTGAGCCCAGCAGCTGACTCGGCCCGCTCGGCCAGGCATGCCCTCTCGCTCATTGCCACGGCCAGACCACCCGCCTTTATCACCACGATAGCCAAAGAGGTGAGCCAGAACTTCTCAGTGTGCTCTGTCTTCTCACTCAGAGGAATTATTTGATACTGTAAGCTGAGGGTTCCTATCCTTAATTCATTATCCAGTTTGTTCTAGAACAATAAGTTAATAATTCTGTACTGAAATGAATGCATATGTGTCTGTGTGCACTGAATTCCACAGTGGTACATTCATTACTTGTGCTTCTCAATTCATTTCTGTTCTCAAAGTTAATTCACTTGTAAATATTCAACAATTCTTCAATCTGAATTATGACAGGCATATGCAAATTCAAAAATATTAGGGGTGTTCACATTTTTAAAGTATAAGGGCATGCTTGTAATCAAAACTAAACTTATTTCGCACTGGCTCTTCAACTGTAAACAAAAAAATGTAAGTCATAAACTTGCTAATTGTTTTTCCTATTACTTGTCACAGATAAAGACTTGAATGCCAATTGATTCCCAGGTTCTTAGTGTTCTAACTAATTGCCCACATCAAACTGAAAAACTAGTAAAGAACAATGAACCAATTATAGGATCTTTCCTATAGGTCTTAGTAGTATAAGTGTGGGGTGTGGGGGAGGATGACTAGCTACTAAATGTTCCTAAAGTTCGGTTCTATTTCAGCATAATAATGTGCCTACTCAGTGTCCATAGGGTACGAGTATGGGCTCTGAGTTGTTTTTCCTGTAGCTGTGATGAATTTTTAAAATACTAAATAAATGCCTCTGAGTCTACTCTGATAACCTGAAACCTGTTGGGCCTATACCTGCCCCAGAGCCATCCTTAATAGGCATGCTGTAAATATTTGTGATGTGAAGGAAGGTGGAAGGGGAGGAAGCTCCTAACAGCAGTTTGTGTAGGTTAATGCGAGGCAGTGGGACTTTGAATTCGTACCTAACATAAATGTATAGATTAAGGATGTGAGTTTTTCTAAAAGTGTTATAGTAAGTTTCCACTGTATTTAAAATATGCATACATATATATTTCTTTATATGTTTTATTGGTATTCCATAGTTATATATAATGTGTATATATGTGTACATGTACAAAGGTAAGTTTTATTAGACTTGGAGTTTTTTTTACTAGTTTTTCCCATCAGTGGAATGTGCACAGGTAGTGATATTGAACACACTGAATAGGCCTCACATCCGTCTGACAGATCCTTACATTAATTGTGTTTTTGAACTTAATCAGCACCATTTGCATATGAGTATTTTTTAAAATTGACTGTTAGAACACTCATTCTACTCCAGCTTTTAGTTGGAAAGGTAATTTTTAAATATTTTATTGTAACAGTCTACGTTTATTACTACTTTTAAAACGAGTTTTCCAATTCTAACTGATAAATAGAGCAAGGTTTTAAAAAGAGGGAGGAATGTAATTCCACATGATATTTTTTTGGTACACCAAGCCAACAGTGCCTCAGAGCTAGTTTTCTTTCATTCAGCAACTACTTAGATATGGAATCTTAAAAAAGTGAAAGAGAGTTGAATAGTTGTTTCTTGGGGTTGGGGATGGGGGAAAGGGAAGATGTTGGTCAAAGGGCACGGACTTTCCGTTTTAAGATGAATAAGTTTTGGAGACCTAATATACAGCATGGCGAGCATACTGAATAATAATGTATGCTTGAAATGTGTTGAAAGAGGAGGTCTCAAATATTCTTACTACACACATATGAAAAGGTAATTATGTGAAGTGATGGATATGTTAATTAACTTGATTGTGGGTAATCATTTCACAAAGTATATATGTATCAAAACATTGTGTTGTATGCCTTATACATATAATTTTTATTTGTCAATTATACCTCACTAAAGCTGGAAAACAAACAAGCCATCAAACAAACCAAAAACAAAACAAAATAATTAAACTGAGTTTTAGGCCAGGTGCCTTAGACCCCACCTACTCAGGAGGCTAAGAAGGGAGGGTTGCTGAGGTGGGAGGATCCCTTGAGCCCAGGAGTTCGAGTTCAGTCTGGCAACGTATGGAGACCTCATCTCTAAATACTAAAAAATAAATCAAGAAAACTAAACCCCACACATTTTTCATCTCGTTTTTTAATCTTAGAGCATTAGAGTAAAATACTGTAGTATTTCTTCGTGTTATTGCTGTCCCTTACCCCATCCTTATGCCCGCTACTTTGGGGCTAGTCAGAGACCTGGTAATGTTTTCTTCTCCTCTGAATGATAAAGTTAACAGAGGTAGGGGGGAAATGACACCGAATTTATGCAGTTTAATCACGCTCAGTATTTTTGGAGGCATGTTCCCTTGGGTTTCCCAGCTGATTGCCAAGCACTTAAAGAATAATGTCTGGGACACAGTGAGTACTATGTAAGTATTATTTATACTAGACTGCTGAGGGATGCCGATTTCCGGGCAGTGAAAAACCTAGGTATAACATTTGACTCTCCACAGACTTAACTAATAATAGTTTGCTGTTGACCAGAAGCCTTGCTGATGATATAAACGATCGATTTACACATATTTTGTATGTTGCATGTATTGTATACTATATTGCAGTAAAGTAAACTAGAGAAAAGAAAATGTCAAGAAAATCCCAAGACAGAGAAAATATATTCACTGCTCATTAAGCGGAAATGGATTGCCCTGAAGGTCTTCATTCTCCTGGTCTTCATGTTGAGGAGGAGGAGGAGAAGGACGAGGAGGGGTTGTTCTCGACTTTTCGGTGGTGGCAGAGGCAGAAAAAAGGCTGTGTGTGAGGGAACCCATGTTGTTCAGGGCTGAACTGTTCTATTATTACTTGAGAGCAAGGATCAAGGGGAAACCCCCAAAAGCCAGAATTTATTTATTAAGAAATTGTGTATTTGTTCTTACATGTTTAAACTTCAGTCACCTTCAGAGTACTCTCCGTTTGCTGCAAGACGCCTGTAAAGACGCTTTTCCCACTGCTCAAAACAGTTTTTGAGCTTGTCCATTTTGATGCCTTTTGGTGCTTCTGCCATTTTTTGTTTCACCTCTCCCACATCAGTTTTTGTTATACTAACTACGGTTTTTGCAATCCAAAGAATTTTCTGACCTCCCCAAGAGGTCGTGTCTTCCCCTCACCAATCCCCCACCCCGTGGCATTAGTAAGTGAAAAGTAAACCAGTATTATTATTAGTAAGTGAAAAACAAACCAGTGGTTAGAAATGTAAAACTCTATCAAGTGTCATTCATATCTGCAGCATGAAATGTTTTTATAGGTGCACAGACACACGGCTCTTGCAGCAAATACCCAATCACAGCAGAATATGCACACTACAACTCTTGCACGAGCTAAAGGGGAAATTCTAAGAGTCATTGAAATTCTTATTGAAAAGATGCCCACGGATGTTGTGGATCTTCTTGTGGAGGTAAGAATATCCTGTTTTAAATGGTGCATCAACAAACTCAATAAAATAGTCCAACACAGAAATATAAGTCAGCAGCAGCTTTATTTCCAGCCCTACAAAAGATAAAGAGAGGGTGAGAGGGTGTGTGTGTGTGTGTGTGAGAGGGTGTGTGTGTGTGTGTGTGTGTGTGTGTAAAAGAGAGAGCGATAACTAAGATTAACTTTTGTGCCATGTCTGGAGCCCTCATTTTAAATGTTCTCAAAAATCAAATGATCGCTATACCCATTCATCATTGACATGGAATTGGTCTGGATTGGAGTAATTTTAAAACCCTGAATTGTACCTCACATCTTTAAAATTAAATAAATAAAGAAAATAAAAGGTTACTTTCCCCTTGACGTCTTTCATTATAAATAAGAGAAAATGTATAGTGTGTTGAATAAAAGCTACCTATACTGTACATAAATATGAACTGACATTAAAGTCAAGTCTGTTCTCTTTATTTTATTGCACCGTCCTTTAAAGATCTGCCTGTAGCATACACAGGCTTAAAGTTGCTTTTGTTTTTGTTTTAGCAAATACTAAAACCAAACTACCCAGATTTTTCATGAGTGAATGAGGCCTAAGTTAATCATTTAAGTTTTTGAAAGTCAAATATTTGAAATTAATTTTGGATCTGCTCTTTTCTGTCAAAGGTTATGGACATCATCATGTACTGCCTCGAAGGATCTTTGGTTAAAAAGAAAGGTCTTCAGGAATGTTTCCCAGCCATCTGCAGGTAAGGAAGTCTTCAACAGCGTGCAAGATGAATGATTTCCAGTAACAAATACTTTTTAAAAATTGGCAAGGCTGGTTAGTAGTCTTGTTCGATTAGAAATTCAACTATCAATTACTTAATGTCTACTTACTTTCTAAAACAGTTTAGGCAGTTTACAGTCAAAAGCACAAATGCACATAGTAGAACCAGCTATTTGAACTGGGGCATGAAGACATTTTGCTCAAAATTTTAAAGATAGTCGGGCTTGGTGGCTCAGCCTTGTAATCCCGCGCCTTTGGGAGGCTGAGGCGAGTGAATTGCCTGAGCCTGCAGGTTGGAGACCCACTGGGGCAGTGAGACCTCATCTCTACAATAAATCAAAAAATCAGCCAGGCATGGTAGCGCATGCCTGTAATTCTAGCTACTCGGAAGGCTGAGGCGGAAGGATCGCCGGAGCCCAGCAGGTCGAGGCTGCGGTGGCCGGGAGCGGCCACTGCACTCCAGTCCGGGTGACAGAGTGAGACTCCAACTCAAAAAAAAAAAAAAAAATTTTTAAAGATGAGTAAGAGATGACATTCACTGAATATGTCTGTATTCTTATATTTATTACTCAAATTCGTATTTACATTACAAAATGGAGTTAGAAATCTTCTGACTTAGGGAGGAAAATGTACTTTCCAGCCAAGAGAAATCTTTATGCCACATTTTCACTGCTAAATTTTATGTTTAATAAAAAGGCCGGTGGTGCATTACGTTCTATTAAGTGTAGGTATTATTCCTATGTCAAAACAGGAAAAGAAGCCAAGAAAAGTTACAACTTATATAAACAATGTTACATATGCCAGTTATAACTCTAGAAATCATGTTTTATAAGTATATGATTGTCATGCACAAAGCTTTGTTTAAGTGTCAAAAGGTACTGGCATTATGTTCATTTTTCTTTTAAGGCTCTTTTAAGTTTGGTTCTCAGAATGTTTATAGATTGAGGTACCTTTTATTAAAAAGAAATTTTTACCTCCACGTAGTCAATAGAAATAGCATCTAAACTTGTTGAAATTAATCGTTTTTGTGGAAAACAGAACAACCAGGTACTGATAGTTACATGACATTTTTCTTTTTAAGACAAGTGCTCTGATAGTCTTCTTTGTGTTCATTTCAATGAGTACATTGTAGTGTAAAGCTTTATCTTAGATTCTAAGTTTCCCCGAGAGCAGTGACATCCTTCTGGCTTCTGTATTTCCTGGTGTTTCAGCAGGTTTGTGCTAAACTGCTTGTGATTATGACCCATGTCTTTTTCTACAATTACAGTAGGTCTTTGTGTCCTAGACTCTCTGCAGTTTTGATTTATACAACCCAGAAGTTAAAACGTAAACCCAGATAAAAAAAAAAAGATAATGCCATAGCATACATGCACACATATACATATTTTCTTGTGATATCGATTAGGCAAATTAGCATCATGCCACATTAATTTTGGTTTTTGTTCTTCTTATTAAAAATTGTATATATTAAATCTTTCATGCAGTTAATTGATTTTAAGAATACAGGTTGCTTTTCTTTTCTGAGTCATCAACTCTCTATGGAAACGTTAAAATAAAAATGTACATTTGTCACTTACAGGAGGTAATGAGGAAGCAGTTTTATTAGGGCTTATCTAACTGAATGTTAGCAGAGTGTTCCTTATAGCACCAGACACTACTATATAAATAAGCTTCCTGGAGTGAATGCGAGTAATGTTTAAGGGCTCCATGCTTAATGGACCAGTTTTTGCATTTGCCAGACGCCTGCCTCCTCCAAGTAGCATCCTCTATTCCAAAAGTCACCTTGGCCTGCTGCATACCCACTTATGCTTGCTGCTGTGTGGCCACAGAAGGGTCAAGATTCTGCTTGAATGTTAAGGAGGCATGTGTCTTAACTAAAGGCTCAGTGTAAATTTTGTCTGATTTGGCCGAAAACAACTGAATTTTGTTTATCAATTTAATAACATTTATTGAACACCTACAGTGTATGGAGTACTAGCTGGGCCCTGGGAAAACAATGATTAATAAGATGATATCATCAAGGGGCGCAGAGTCTGATAGGGAGGGAATTATACAGACAAGTGACTCTGGGTTCTGGGTTATGTGCTGGAGTAGAATTACATTACATGCCTTGGACTGAGGTGGGCAACGAATGGAGAGCTTACCTCGGGGTATGGAAGTCTGAGAAAGTTTCACAAAGGAGAAGGCAGACCCATAATAGCGTCTGTGAAAAATGCTTTTAAGCCGGGCTCGGTGGCTCAGCCTGTAATCCCGTGGCTTTGGGAGGCTGAGGTGAGTGGATTGCCTGAGCCCACGGGTTCGAGACCCGCCTGGGCAGCGAGACCTCATCTCTACAATAAATCAAAAAATCAGCCGGGCGTGGTAGCGTGCGCCTGTAATTCCGGCTACCTGGAAGGCTGAGGCGGAAGGATGGCCGGAGCCCAGCAGGTCGAGGCTGCGGTGGCCGGGAGCGGCCACTGCACTTCAGTCTGGGCGACAGAGTGAGACTCCAACTCAAAAAAAAAAGAAAAAAATGCTTTCACAACATTGCCTTTCACATGGGGGAGAGATTTGCCCTCTGAGGGAGTCGGGGTGGTGGTGGATTCTGGAAAGCTTCATAGAAGAGTCGACGAGGTGGGCTTTGCAGAATAATTAGGTGTGCAACTTGAATTGCAGAGAGACCCAGACCAGCAAATGTTTGGAGGCGCCCGAGTCTATAGCGTAAGTTTGGCAAATGCTGGGGAGTAGGGGGGCTACGGTGTGGGTTGAGGATGGAAGTCTAGTATAGTGCCTGTGAATTTCATGTGAGGGAGTTTGACCGGGACAGCAGGTCCTTGAATAGTGTCGTTTCATTCAGCATCATTTCATCGTCACTTTGATAAGAAAAAGCAATTGTCAGTTCCTGGCCCAAGCCACTGTCTGGCGGCATTTGTACCTCCCCCCAGGCTCTTGTGGGTGTTCTCCCATAGCTCAAAGATATGCCCATTAGGTGAACTGGCATGTCTACACGGTCCCTGTCGGAGTGAATGTGGTGTGAGTGTGCCCTGTGATGGGAAAGTGCCCTATCTAGGGTGGGTTCCCCCCTGGCACCCTGAGCTGCCAGGAGAGTCTCCAACCACCCTTGACCCTGGACTGGAATCAAGAGTAAATAGTGATCTTACTTGTTTTTATTAATTTTTCTTAAATGTGTGTAGAGCTCATATTTCAGGGTTTAGCATCAGAAGTGTTTTGAGTTCTTAACAAGTTTGGTGATGTTTTTGTGACCGGAAACGTACCCTAGAAACTTGTTTGTATCAATCAGCCGGGAGTCACGCTGATTTCGTTCTACCTCACTTCCCTTAAAAGCACGGCTTCTGAGAACCTATTGACAAGTGAGGACTTACTATCTTTGATAGGCGGTGGGCAGTCAGGAAAGTGTGAGCAAAAATGTGTGATTCTTTTGCCAGAACTAGTTAATAAGACTTAACTTTATGAAACATCAGATTTATAATAAGCAGTTGTTAAATTATGTAAAATGTTATTAGGATTGTGAAGATATAAGGCACATGGGCCCATTTATTTGAGAGTCAGCACATAAGCATAGAAGGATGGCTCTCAATATAAGCTTGTAGCTTATGCTAAATGCTAGTTGAAATAGACGATAAATTATGGGGGACGTCAGAGAACACTAAGCTGGGATGGGATCTCGGAAGTTTTGCAAGCCGATGCCACTCTATCTATTGGCAGATTTTTACTAGGTGAATAAATGAACAACAGCAAAGATAACATATCAGTGGAAGTCAAAATTATTTTATTGAATGTGTGCCATGTCCGTGCCATTGTGCTGTGCTGGGAGCCTTACAGCACTTAGGAACCTTCTGCGTCTGAGCTGCCTTTCACAGAAGATGATCCAGGCAGAGATGATGGCACGATGTATCTGTGGTTCAGACAGACGATGTTTTGGGTTTTTTTTTTTCTTTTTTTGAGTTGGAGTCTCACTCTGTCGCCCAGACTGGAGTGCAGT